GGTCTACTCCTGCACATGGTTGATCAATCTGGGCCGACCCTGTAGTTTATAGGTTCCGGGTCCCATAGACATTCGTGGGATGTGAACTACCAGAGGCCCCAGTTAAAACAAAACAGCCATACAATGCCTCTTTTCTAATAGGTATAAATTGACTTAACAAATCACTCAACATTTCCTCTGGGATTCGTCTGTGATCACGTCACGTTTTCGCGGATACACTACTTATCAGTGTACCAGTAGTTCAATTTAACGCAAAAAATGGTCTTTATCAGAGACAAAATTCAATTGGACTAAGGATCAGGCAGATTATCTCCAAAAGTTTCGCTTGGGTGAAAACGTGAAACAAGAGGAAAAGTGGTCCGGATTTCTGAGAAATGTGAATCATAACACTGTAAACTTACTGATGGTGTATGCAGAAGCTTTTGGAGTGATTCGCACTTCTTTGGCCCGTGGAACGCACACATCCACGTCAATCTTACTTTACGCGACTTGGGAGTCTGTCCAACGTAATTTTCTCAAACTAATCTGCTTACTAAATAATTTCGATATGGTTCTTCCTCAATACATATCGCTGTATCAATCGTCCATGGGGGACGCTCATACCCCCGTCGTTTAGGTAGAATGAATAATAAGGTGCTACACTCAAGGGTATCAGACGCTATCATTTGGTAGTTTACCCACGAAGTGGAGTGTTTCGATTAGAAAGGGGATAAAATTTTAGACATGCTGGTGATCGGTAAGCACCCTGCGTAGATAGGCGTACTCACAAGCTGTCCATGCAGGCCTGTATGGTCATACCTAGCATAATAGGGCAGTTTAGAGTTGAGGTTTGCTGTACCAGAAAGCCCCTCAGGTCTGTAAGGAAAGCTCATCGGGCTACTGCGTCGGCTGTAAGCTTTTTTCAACAAAGGCTTAACATGAACGCAACACATCCGGATAATTTTGGCGTGACGAGTCTTAGCTATTGGTTCAGTGATTCTAACTCTTTACTCGGTGCTGCATCTCTGGAGGAACTGAACATCTAAGTGGACTCTGTTATTTTTCGGTGGTACCATTAAACAGAAGTTTCAAGATGGCAATCCTACATGTCAAGGTAGATTTACGATATACTACAAACTATCGATACGGCGGCCTTGAAGCTACTCAAACACAAGATTATACTTCATCCTTTAGCGGCACTTCGTGGGTGGTTGTTAATTTCTCCTGCCGGCCAATTCTGGTTTAGAATGCAAGGTCGATTACACTAAAATTCACTTTCGTACAAGTGTGTACGCATTCATTGAGGTTCCTGTGATAGCGCTTCAAAAGACTAGGTCATAACAGGAAAGAAACTACCAACGGGGTTATTCTTGCCACTGAATTACTCAAATAGTCTGGTTTGAAGTGCAGACTAAAACTAATATTCGAAAGTGGGAATATTCTGTGTGGACTGTACTACGATTACTGCTGTTCCGGAGACAACCGAATTGGTTGCCCTAGCAAGCCGTAGTAAGGATAAACGATACTACTAGCAGAGTTATGAGTAGTCAAACTTTCAGCCCATGTGGTGACACCGAGGCGATGGAAGTGCCGAGTGGTCGGCGGTCTAATATAAGGAATTTGAGTGAAATCTTCTCCGAAACTTCATGCTGACCACTCTTCGTCAATCCTCTAAATCCCACTGTAATCCATCCCAACGCTTCGATACAAAACAGCCAGGGTAAAGTCCTCCGAAGTCTCTAGCGGCAAGGTAAAGAGTTTCCGTTAATTTCACACAAGAACACCCCCCCCCTATCACTGCACTGCTCACACCTGTGAATCGATTTTTTTCAACCATGAAACGCTACATTTCAACAACAGAGTGCTATTTTAGGCACAGTCAGAACGAAGCTTGGTTTTTTGCTTCCGTCAGGGCGTATCTGTGACTTTTCCGGTTCCAACGATACATGAAAATCACAAACTCACTCTTTTTCATGAACGCTGGATTGGGGGGGGGGAGCGATGGCAAGTGGTATTGTAGCGCCATGCTGAATGGCCTGGTGACAACACCAAAAGAGGACACAGAGCACCACTACCTTAAAATTCCTTTGAATTAGTACTTCCAATGAAAGGGCATTGCCAAGTAGAGGCCTCAATGAAGAAGCGAAGTGGACTCCCTCTACCTGAAGATATAATTCATCGTGCATTGGACGTAACGGATCACCTATTTGATTTGGTCGTTCTTGAGAAAGGTAGATACATCAAATGATAGAGAGTCCACCTCTAAAAGATAACCACATTCGTAGTTCGACATTGCTCTTCTCAGTGGAGTCGAATTGATCATTCAACAACAAGAAACCTGCTCACCACAATGAACCAGAAAGTCGCATGTGTCGGTCAATGCTACATAAGTTTTACACAATCCAAATAAGGATAGGACGTGTGCATCCGCTTTCCACGCTAACGCACAAAGGAATACTATGAAGACGGAGTGAGTTTGATTGCCAAACTGCTGAAGTTGCTCATCCGGTTGAGAGAAACCCTTTGGACACGTCTTTTCACACACGGCGTTGAGTTGTACTCCTGTCATCTGTTTACTCCGTCCCTCTAGGCCCCTCAGCGCTAAGTTCACTGCTGTGACTTTACTAAGCGATCACGGCTATGTTTTCACTTCCTGGAGCTATTTCGACAAGCGCCATGGGGTGGCAACGAGCCTGTTACAGTAATAGTTGAAGATCGGCTCCGATTGTAAGTCGTTCTGCTTGAGAAGCTGTAAGAGTGTCTCCAATCGGACGCAAGTGAGTTAGGGGTTATCTTCAAAGGTCATTTTAGCCCAGCTTCATGGTGTCCCATTGCTAAGGGGGCGAGATGGACCAACTGGTTAGAGCGCGAATTCGCTGATCGGAAGGTCCGTGGTTCGAACCCGACCTCTGCCTCTCGACTTCCCCTGTCTAGGCTTGGGCAGTATCCCAGCCCTCATGCGACCTTCGCGTGACATGGCAGCTGGGCACCGAAAAGGTGCTACAGCTGAACGATTTTTTATTTTTTTCCAAAGGAGATTGCCGTATTCATATGTGCTTCATTGTTTTTGTCTGTCACGACCAGAATGTGTATACAATGCAGTATACTAGGTTTTATTCATTTGCAATTCTCACTGCAGCAATGGTGGGCATTCCACTGGCAATTCTGGATGACTTATCTTAATACATGTACAACAGAGTCCTATCCCGCTTTATTTCAGTCGCATATCCAAGAAACGCAGCTCAAGGATCGCGTGGCTCAACTCGAGACAATGCTGGAGATGCACGAAAGAGATAATCAACACCTGGTCCAGCAGAATGCAATGGCGCATTCCACAGAACTCCGACTGAACGAAGAACGAACCAGTCTCCGATCGGAGAAGCAACAACTCCGAGACGAACTGGACAAAGTCTACATGGAACGGGGGACTATGAGTGCGGAATTGGAACAGGTCAAAGAGAATGTGGTGAGACTGGAGGCGGCCAAGAATCGGCTGGAAGTTGAGACAAACGAGTTGGCACACGAAAGGCAGGCACTGATTGATTCACTGAATAATGCTGAGCGCCAAAAAGCTGCAATGATGGATGATCTGAATACCTATCGCAAAGAGTCTGATCGACATGCGGGTCTGATAGCCCGATTCACCAGCGAGAAAGAAGCATTGGCCAAACAGAAGGCGGAACTACTTGTTCAGGTGGGATGAATGAGTTTTTGTGTTTTCTCTGATACTCCATCGTTTTATCCTCTTCCTTCAACTGTGTTGTCCAATATAGTTATCAACCCCACAAAGAAACATGCATAAGCGAGAGATTCAGTTAAGTTTCTCGTCAAAACCAAACTGATTTGCAAATGAGTGTAGTTCTCGAAAACAGTTCGATTTGGGGTCAACTAGAACATAAGGCTGACGGAAACTCGTGGACTGCGCCTACCTGATGAGCCCCAAGAAGGGCGAAACTGGCCGTGGGCTGTCGAAGAGTTTTCAGCAACCTTGTGACTAGTTTCCTTTATGAAAACATGCATAGTGTTTTTGACAACCATCCTAATCATTTGGAAAAGGGATTGGACAGTTACGTCTCACTGTATTTTTGTCGTACAGTTGATGTTCCATGCTACTGAAGAACCCCTTACTGATCAATGAACACTGCTTTGCTAAACAGCCAAGAATCACGATAAAGTCGGTTCATTCTTCCATGACGTGACACCAAGCCTAAGGCTGATGGAAATTTCTGGAAACCCTTTGCTGGTTTTGTGTTCACCACATGAGCGAGGTACCCCGAAATTCGTTGGTAGTGTGAAGAAATTTAGGAACCTTCAGCTGAGATTTCGTCTTGTACGTGAAACTAATTTATGCTGAAAAGCTCAGAATCTGTTTAATCCTTATTGCGCCTCTTACGAAACGCCAGCGAGCCTTTCCGAAACTGCGACCTTCTGGCTAGTAGTGTGAACATAACCATTAGGCCACGAACGGTCGATCAGCAATGTGATCAATGGGCAGGATATAGCGCCACTTACCATTCATTCACGGAAACGGCATCACGTGGTTTCCTCACACTACTAACAATAAATAAGTAGCTTAGAAGAATAATCAGTTCACAAGATGAGTGAAGCCTCCATTTGAGAAGTTATCTCTCTAGGCAATAAGTGATCACGTGATGTGAATTCCATGATAGAAGGATGAGTGGCGATGTGTCCTGTCTGAGTGAATGCTAATCACACCGGTGAACAGCCAATCATGGACGAACGCTCTAGTACCTAACCACTAGTCGGAAGACCGCCCTTTCGTGAGAGGCGCACTGCTGATGATTCCCAATAAGGATGAAACTTACAAGCCGAAACATGGACTGAAAAATATCAAAAGGATATAAATCGTTTGCATCATCGAACATCCATATGCCTCCCCAAACTTCCAGACTTCCAACTTCATCAAATACGTTGGACAGTGAAATACGAAAAATGATCAGCTGTGTCCCCTCATACGGTACAAAATCTAAGAAAAAGCGAGCACTTTGCAATCGTCCTCGGTATATCGTCACGTCCCTTTCCCCAGGAGATGTGCTTCTTATATGAAAGAAATGCCAATTCGTTTCCACCTCGGGAACCATGGGTAAATTCATCACTACCGTGTCATGTTGGATTTGGACTAGACAAATATTCCCTCGTTTATCTGAAGGGATGAACGGATACTGAGGTTTCCGTTTCTTTGAGCAGACACAGTGTTATTTTCCAGACTCTCTGATGAGTTTGAGCTAGCTCATTAGTTAATTTGAGAACCTACTGACCGTGGTTTGGGGCCGAATCCGGCATCACGACTGCTTGGACAACTTGGCGATAGCTTAGCCCTCGTGTTTCCTCTAGGTAGCGTGGTAACTAGGCATCGAAACGGTGTTACATCTGAGGAGTTTTCATTACTTTTCCTAATAATACTATCAATAGCAACAATATACTGTCTGTCTTTTCATAAGCTATCCATACTGGAACGTGACGCTCGACAACAAGCAGAGCACATCGCCAGGCTGAAAGGCGAGAAAGAAACGTTGGAATCCAGTCTTTTTGATGCACAAGAGTTGATTGAACAGTTACAAACAAAACAAGCCGCTCTGGAACGTGAAACGGCCGAACTGAAATTGCGTCGGGACACGTTACAAGGTATGCAGCACAGTTTCCCGCAATATCTTACGAATAAGTCTTGTCCGAGCCCTGTGTGCCAGTTTTTGCTTTTTGGATTTTCGGCCCAGGTGAGAAGATGAAAGCTGAAACGTCTGAACTTTGGACTTTAACCTAACTTACTCAACATTAAAATGCTGCGGACGATTCTCGTTGGAGGGTAATACCGTTTTACGGAAGTCTACTTGTCTTTGAGGATGTCTACCGTCCTGACAACCCCGTGTTAAAGAAATTAATCGGTAGAGCCGGTTTTCTACCAGGAAGTTGCGCCCAAAGGAGTAATCCAATTGCTCATACGTGAACCTCACCACAGGTCAGATTTCGTCATCTGGTCTAGCCCTCTTGTGAGACAGTTTTACCGATTATGACTGCCTACTGGCAATTATCAGTTGCAAGTAAGTACTCGTATGGAATAGGGATACAAAAGATCGATGAGTTGAGCTTTCTCATCGGCCTGTGATGTTTTGTATACGATGAAGTAAGTTTTCACAACGGCCTTGTGGAATTGCTGCATTATTAGTGTTGTCAACACTCTGAAACTTTATGGAAGCATCAATGATCGATCCACCTATCTTGAGCACTTTTATATGTCCGTGTATGTGCGTGTAGGGAGGTACACTTCCCGTCCGCCGCCAGGTACGAATGATAGATAAATCACAAGTCTAGGAACCTTTGTTTGTGCACCGTGGCATGATCAAATTTATGGCTATACTGACAATGAGAATAGTGTCCTTGCTCACACATCGCTTTCCTCACCCTAGCCGAACTACTTCGAGCGCACACAAACTTTCAAGTTGAGTTGGACAAATCTCAAAGAAGTCAACGTGAACTCGGAAGCCAATTGCACACGGAACTGGCGGACCTCAGATCTGCGCTGACACAAGCTGAACGTCGTGCAAAGGAAGCCGAGGAGGCGTGTCTCCAGGCCGTGCTACGTGCTGATCAGGCAGTGAGTGTGATGGGCAGACATCAACGACTCGAGGCTGAATCTACCACGGATCGTGAAACGGAGCTCAGAAAGTCAGCAGAGGAGGTGAATCGTTTGACGCGTGCACTTCTGGCTGCTCAAAGGTCAGCGCAACGAAAGTTTTGGGAAAGTTTTGATTACCTTGTTTGAGCCATAATTTGGGTTCAGGAACCCAAAAACCGATTGTGTGCAGACACCTAGATGGTTTTGCGAGCTTTAATCGAAGAGGAAACAAACTTACTGTGATTTCCAGCAGGGATCGAAGCAGACGTAAGTATTACTCCGTCATATCAAGATGGCTCGTAGCAAGTTCCCTTGAGTAAAGGAATTTAATGGCTTATACTACCCACTGATTTCAAAGTAGCCTGTTCTATCACTCTATCCGATTATCGTACCTCGCTGAAATTTATTGGGTAAACTCAGTTGACTGAAAAGTGGAAATTTCTGCCAACCTCCGAAAAAACAATATGACGATTCGCAACCTTTCTGGATGCTTGTTAGTCACGTTGCTAGTTGGTGAACAAGGACTGAATAGTAGTGTTCACAAGCCTTTGAAAGGTTGCGGTTCGTATATTCCTTAAAACATTTTTGGGCTGTGATCGTGTTTCCTTATAAATGAAGACAAACTATTCCAGACTTTTGGCGAGATAATCTCAGTGTATGAACAAATGGCAAGTCTGTCAGGTTCCTCCCGGACATCACCTCGGTCAGCTTCTGCGCTGTTCCCTTGAGTAAAGGAATTTAATGGCTTATACTACCCACTGATTTCAAAGTAGCCTGTTCTATCACTCTATCCGATTATCGTACCTCGCTGAAATTTATTGGGTAAACTCAGTTGACTGAAAAGTGGAAATTTCTGCCAACCTCCGAAAAAACAATATGACGATTCGCAACCTTTCTGGATGCTTGTTAGTCACGTTGCTAGTTGGTGAACAAGGACTGAATAGTAGTGTTCACAAGCCTTTGAAAGGTTGCGGTTCGTATATTCCTTAAAACATTTTTGGGCTGTGATCGTGTTTCCTTATAAATGAAGACAAATTATTCCAGACTTTTGGCGAGATAATCTCAGTGTATGAACAAATGGCAAGTCTGTCAGGTTCCTCCCGGACATCACCTCGGTCAGCTTCTGCGCTGTTGCTCAGATTAGGTAAATCCGGCAGTTAATGGACAAAATTCTCGGTTTCAACACATATTTCATCCTGAAAGAGGAGTCGGCTGGGTTGGAGGTTTTCAATGGAGGCCTCGTCAATCTACACGCAGAAGTCAACTCCTTGACTTCTCCGAATCTCCTGGATGATTCGAGGTAGCAAAGTCCCACCTAGTAGTGAAGTACTGAAACGTTTGGTCATGAACGAATTATCATCTAAACTCACAGTTCTGGTCACGTGATCCGGCGTTGATTGACTCCCAGACACATTGGTCGTTCATCTGAGAAGTCATCACTCGAGTAGGCTGTCAGCAATCAAGGCAGATGAGAATTGATCGATTGAAAATCCAAAAATGGCTGGCGTGGACTGGCGGTGAGTAAACACTTACAAGAAACGGAAGCATACAAATTTGAGTTGGAAACATACCTGTCACGGTATGAACAACATTTCTAGTTAACGAAAACGACTTGCATGGTCTAAACAGTGAACCTTCAGTCTATCTTGACGCAAATCAACTTGTTAAGTTTCCCAAAAACTTGTTGGTAGCTCACTACTGCTCTCACACATCTTACGATTTACTAATCAGACGTAACCCACAAGAAAATAAGACTGGTGAAAGCTCGAGAAATACGTAACGCAAGAAGCGCAAAACTGGGGTCGGGCTACTTTGTGGGTAGTGTTGGGGGCAAAAACTACTTCGATATATTGTGCATCTTTCCAAGTGAAACGTGAGACTATCTTTGTGCAGTCATTCAGTCGAGAATTGTCATAAACGAGAGATTCAGCTGGAATTCAGTCAATTCTCTCCTTGAAAGAGTTGGTTTTTTGATGAGTGTGTCCCTCGTTTGGGGAAAATCCTCTGGAAACCAGAACCCAGTTTTGCATTTCCGTATCAAAACGTAGATTTCTTCTCAGAGTTAATCAGCTATAGAGTAAATTCTACTCCTCCGGTTGAAAGTTAGAACTGGATCCAGTGTGTATGGAAGCTTCCGCTGTTTACTTGGAGCAAATGGTGTTCAGTAATAAGCCACTTGGTAATGTGTTGAAATATTGGTAGCTCGGGTGAGTTTATTGGTTGTTGATCAGGTGGCTGTTGATCTGTTCGCCGAGCTTGGCAATAGGCTTACAAACATTTCGCCACCATACGAGGAGACATCTGTTATCTTCTGACGTGATTGGCTACCTGAAGTGTAACGAATTTGGTAGATCTATTGATCCGTTTGTGATCTTTGTTGCATTATGGCCTGCGTTCCTTTGTGTTGGTTGTTTATCCCAACGCCTTCTATCTTTAGCAGTTTGTTCTCTCTGGCCTTGATTTGCATTGCGTTATGGTCTGGTGTTCTTGAGTTTGATTGGTTGCTTGTACGCAATGCAAATCTAGGCCAGAGAGAACAAGCTACTAAAAATAGAAGAAGTTGGGATAACCAATCAGAAGATAACAGATAGCCTTCGAATGCTGTATAAGCGCACTCAGGCAAGGAAAGAGTACTCACCCAACTGCGCACTGATGATATCTCCTCGTACGGTGACGAAATGTTTGCAAGCCAGTTGCCAAGCTCGGCGAACAGATCAACAGCCACCTGATCAACAACCAATAAGCCATTTGTTTTTCCTAAATTTCTCCGCTTCTATTCAAATGGGAACACCGAAATTCTCGACCCCTATCACCCACTCGTTATAAGATCATTTTCAATTTTGTGACAGGTGTGAAACCAGTCCAAACCAACTGCAAAGTCAAACCATTTCAGTGTATGCAAATCCTATATTGTTCACCGTTTAACTATTGTTTGTGCAGACTGACCAACATAATGCGCAGATGCGTTACCCTCAGTGTCCATCATATGTCAGAGATTTTTCAGTTTAACCACGATGCTTTAGCCCTTTTCATTGCGCTCAACATTTTTTTTTCGAATTGGTATTCACACATATTTGTTTGCATCATGCTCCGTTAGTCAAATATCTTAAATGAACCCATCAATTTCATTCGAATGGGAAAAAATTCGGTTCCTGATGTACGCATGGACCATGGTTTCTAGTAGAGGTTTAGTCCTGCAGATGAAGCCACTCTATACCGGAAAAACGCTGCAAAGTTGTTTCATCCCCGTGGAGAATCACCAGCAGTGCGCACAAAACCCCAGGGAGTTTCGAACCCCGTAGCTAGTCGTTTGACGATTTGGCTACACAGTGCTTTTTGGCTTTTCACCAAAGACTGGCTTCACATACAGGACAACATCTCAGCTGAAAAAAACTATTCCTGAATTCTCATGCAAGTGGAGACAGGCATTACCGCGCTCAAACTTTGCTGTTGTCCTTTAGAAACGGAATAGTTTTACGCCTAGACATGAACTTTGTTTTTGAAGGGATTTGACCTTGAACAACTTGACACTTTGCAGAGAACGAGACGAAGCTCGTTTGTATTCCGAACAAGAACGTCAACGTTCTCTGCTTCGTGCAGCTGAGGAGAAGGCCGGTCTGCAGGAACGAGTGAGCATGCTGCAACAGACGGTAAGTCGAGACGACAAAAACCATGCTCAGTATTTTTGTAATGCATTACTCATAAGGTTGCTGAAAATTCGTCGACAGCCCACGATCGGTTTCGCCCTTCTTGGGGCTCATCAAATAGGCGCAGTCCCCGGGTTTCCGTCAACCTTATGTTCTACTTGTTCTACTTGCAAATGAGTGTATTTCGCCATCCTTAGTGGTATTCCAGGATCAAATCGTAATTTCGCTAGGAAGCCGCCCACATTGTTGTTCAGCAGTCAAGTAAGATGGATATATTGAACCGCAGAAAAAAGAAACAATTCGTGAATTGTGTCATCTTCACTCAGATCCTTTTAACAGCTCCTTCCCTCCCACAGTGGTATGCGTGAAGCCTAGTTATTCCGAAAATTCCCGTTTATAATAAGAACACAGATGGGTTGACGAGCATGTGTTCGGCAAGTTCTTTCAAAGTCATACAGTTGCCAAGGCTGAGAGGCAGAGAGTCATCATCAACATTGTCATCTGTAATAACCACATACTTGTCGTACAGTGGTTGTAGCTGCCACACTTTCGTTCACTGGTGATTCGGGAACGGGGGGTGGGGGGGGTAGGTAACTGCGCATTGGGGGCGGGAGTTGATAAATTAGTGCGTAAATACAGCACTGTAGGTGGACTATTAAGTGGGGAGCGGATTGGGAAGGGAGCTATGCGTTGAAGGCAATAGCTTGGATGCATGAGCGCCATTGAGAGACGACATTGACTACCTGTCAAGGAACAACTAGGTCAGGTCACCAACGTGAGCTTGTCAGCGCGGAGGTGCTGTAATGTTGTATCGTGGGTGGCCGCCCATTGGTTACGCCTGCACTTGCCAGACTAATAGGGAGAAGACAGAGAACTCGGGACACGGCTGTATTGTCAGGACAAAACATACAAATCTTCTGCGTATACATATAGGATGACTAAATGGCCAAATATGGTCGTTCACTTGTTCGTTCAGTACAGCCCATGATGGTGTTCCGATCGTGAACAATTTCAGGCCCACTACACTGGCCGCATGTTGCTAAGCCATGTTTGGTTAGAGCCGCCAACTCACCCCTACTTTCCGGACGTGTCGTACCGATGGTGACCTTGGGGATGCGTCACTCTCTGCACATGTGCTTTTTCTCCTGTCTGGGCGCGTCCTGACATGTATTCAGCACGGGGTGAGATGAGTTGGACCATGATAAGTGCAACACGCGAAAAAGGCGTTTTCGCGGACGGAGGATCGGATTGCGATGGCAAAAGCCTCAGCCACCGCGATTGTGCGTTGCTGTACTGATATGGGTTGATTAGCCAGCGCCTTGTAAGCAAGGAGCAAGCTTTGGCTGGGTATCATGTTGTGCGCCGAATTGGTCATCGTCCTCCTAGTTCCAGAAGCTAGCCAGGGTGGGTTGTGTTCCTTCATTCTTTGACCGAGTTGCCAAGTCGTGCGTCCGATGTATTCCGCTGCACAGCAGCAAGAGAATGAGTATACTGACATATTTTGAGCGTGGGCAGGCACTCTATGTTCGGGATTAACAGAACACAGGCGATTGATTGTGAACCAATTTTGGACTGTTGCGGCCGGGAGTGTCCAAATTAGTAAGGTCTTCTGTTCAGTGTTGGCTACTCTCCTGTTCAAATGCCACGTCGATCAAACAGCTGGGTAGTTATCACCTTATACGTATGTCTTCCCTGTTACTCACACAGATTAAACAGCCCTCACCCACCTGTCTCTTTGGCGTCGAAAAGAAAACCAGCTTTTCAACCGCCTTTATGCCGAATTGGCAGATGAAACTGAGAACACCGAAGGTCCTAATCAATAAGCCTTTTCTCTCATATAGGCAGTCGTCAGTCGTATTCTCAGGTGTGAGATTTGTACACAAAAAGTGGTCATTGGGTCTCACCTGACCGGAATGTCGTTCACATCGGCTTCACATGGTGTAACAAGTTTACATCAGAATTGATTGTCTATTTTAGCTAGCTTCAGGTTTGCTTGCTCTTTTCATCAACTTTCCAAGAGCTCGAACAAAGAAGCATCGAAAACATCACTTCCGCACAGATGGTATTGTCCTCAAAACTGGTTTGTACTCAACGCTACAAACGCACGGCCATGTGGTCAACAGTCTGATCTGCTAATCAGCTGTAACATTCTTCCGGTGCCTAGCTGCCATGCCACCCAAAGGAAGCTCAGGGGCTGGGATACTGCTAGGTTGCTCCAGCCTAGACAGGGGAAGTCGAGAGGCAGAGGTCAGGTTCGAACCAGGGACCTTCCTGTCAGTAAATTCGCGCTCTAACCACTGAGGCGTCTCGCCCCCTCCATCTGGGTCGATGAAATTGGTGGATTTCGCCTCTGTTTAAAAGCTGTCGGCATATCACAAGAGCTAACTGGTACTGTGAAGACGAACTAAAGTTCTACTCATCATGCTTTTCAGTAGGCTGGGTGCATTTCCACAGCTTTTACTGTTGAGGTTAATGACTAAAATTTCTTACCTTTCCCTCACTTTCATGCCACAGATTACCGATCTGCAGGTCGCACTGGAACGATCGCACCAAGAAAGCAACGTTCGCGGTGAGCAAGAACGTTCGGCTCTTCGGAAAGCCACAGAAGAGGTACGAAGCTTTCGAAATCAACTGGAGGAAACTTGGTAAGCCTTCAGAACGAGTCACCAAATCAACACTGAATACACTTGCGAATGGGTTTTGGACGAAGTGGTATCACAGGACTCCGGGTGTTGAAGTGACTTGAAAGCAGTCAGGTGTATCTTTCTAGCCATCTGCGATCCTTATGGGGGCTTCATAAGCCTCAAACTATGGGTCCGATGAACTCTCTAGAACCAATCACATTCCGATTGTATGCTGTATACGGATATCGTTTCAAGTGAAGTTCCGTTTGATTCGTTATCAAACCATACAATGTTCTTCTACGCTTAAATTTGGTGCGCTTGAACACCCTTACTCCAGAATGCTATGTAATATTACACTGGATACACTGAGTGTACTATGTACTATATGTATTTTGCTGCTGTGATATGTCACAGCAAACCATACTGTTCTATGCCACGCTGCACTACAATGTATTACGCTTTATATCATTGTATTATTATGTATTATTATATTATATAATACATACAATATATTGGGCGAGATGGACCAAGTGGTAAGAAAGCAAATTTACTGACCGGAATGTCCGTGGTTCGAACCCGACCTCTGCCTCTCGACTTCCCCTGTCTAGGCTTGGATAACTTAGTAGTATCCCAGCCCTCGTGCAACCTTCTGGTGGCAGGGCAGTTAGGCACCGAAAGGGTACTACAGCTGAACGACATATAACATAACCTAATAGTGTACATATATATATATATATATGTATATATATAGCATATTGCATCATATAATTAAATTGTATTATTATCTTATGCCGAGTTATGCCATACTCTGTCCCATTATTCTTTACTATAATTTATTATAACGTGCTACGCCACACTACAGTGTATACTAAGTCGAACTCTTCCGGGCCATAGGATGCCACACCGCGTAGCCCAACAGACGGCTCATTGGCTCACATATTCTAAAATCCCTGTTCCCGCTCCCGTAACCTCATTAAACTGGCTACTGAATGCAGTCTTAAGAAATTCGACACCAAAATATGAGTCCATGGGACGGTACGGGGTTTTCATAACTCGATGCTACCGTTTTCTCCTCACTTTTACTTCGTTTTCAGTGCTCAACATGAACGGGAGGTACATGAACTTCGCATCCGAGTTCACGACCTTGAAGCCCATCGTGATCAGCTGATCAAAGAGACCAGCGATTTACAACTGCAAACTCGACTAGCCGAAGAATCACGCGATGGAAACCGATCAGAAATCCTTGAACTGGCCCGCCGAGTGCGAACAGGTGGGACCTCGCTAACTTTTGGTCGCTTGTGAACGTTTGCTGAGAGCCAGGCGCAACAGATACTTATTTCCTTTCTAACAAAATGTTAGACCAAAATGTTTGATCAAGTTTTAGTTGTGCGTGGTTACAGGATTTGTTGATTTCCTAATCATTGTCTTGCTGACGCAATCATCTTGGTGTTAGGTGACCGAATTTCAGATCGCAGGACTACTAGTTGTCTGTGATAAGAGCTGAATTCAGTGCTCCTCTTCTTTGTATAGACCCACCAGACTAACTGCGCTGGGACAGGAATGAAGATTGTTCAGACGAGATGGGAATTAAATGTGTGTGTGTGTGTGACATCCCAGCTCAAGACATGCATTTTTGTGCGCTTTCGGTCTCCACACCCTACTTTATCCTATCTGTAAGAATTCACAGTTTGGGCAACGTTTTCCATTTATATTAGATGATTAGATAAATTTGATTTGGTGCCCAAGGACAGAACGGGCTATTTTATTCGTGTCCTTGAGGAGTGTGTGATCTTCACTGCATCATGCCCGCTGGCTGGCCTATTTGCCAATTTACGTATACGAGGAACACTGATCAGATCTGAATTGACAAGTCAGAATTTCGTAGCACTCTGCTAAGCTCCACACTTGCCTAAGTCCCCCATGCAATGAGTCTTAACTACCAAAAGCAGTTGGTTAACAAAGTATGGCTTCATACTGCAAGATCACGGTATGTTCCACGAAACTCAATGGTGGGCAGATGGAACTGGAAGCAACGTGCTTTCGAAGTTGCATAGACCCTGTTGGAAGTGAGAAAGAAGAAATTTCCGTTCGGATATCGAAGATCAGAATTATGTTTGCCTGTTTTTGCCATTCAAGTGTTTCCGAGTTTGTGTAAGTCCATAATGAGCTGCTAGGAAAGTTGACCCTTCCGGGTAGGGCACCTGAGGCATCTTCAGGTCTTTGAGTATCAGTGTCTGAGGATCAGAAGTTGCGTAACGCAGAGATTCACGACGAAGTGATCGGTTGTTGGGTGAGGCAGCATCAATTGTAGAATCTGCACATCGGCAGAAGCTGAGATAACCTAATTACATGCTATTCAGACCTGGAAGAATGCCCTTTTTGCTCCGTATTTATGGTGACGCAAGCCGAGAGGTGGACAAAGTATGGGAGAGTGGAAGATGTTGAATGAAACTGTGGAAATTATGACAGCCATCGATGCTATCTGCTTTCCAAGATGGGGTCAACGTCTTCTACGCTGTGTCTGCTGGAGATTTTGGAGGAATTGACTACTACTCGACGGGGCTGAAGTTCATGCTGTCAGCTTCTAGCTAGATTGTCTGAGCGAATGTTTGAAGACAGTCAGTTTCGCCGTTTTTTCTCCTTTTTACGTATTGATGAGTTTTAGTTAAATAAGTTGATATGGTTGCGTGGCAACTAGGCACCGGTATTCTCGAATTTCCGCGTTTCATGGCTGCAGTATTCTGTGGTCAACTTCAAAGTTGAAATCACCGAAGAAAGTGTGGACACAGTTCACATTGGGGAACACATTTAGATACTTTATCGAATTATGGCCAAGTTCAGAGATTCAGTCACTTGTTGACTGCTGTTGAATGCGACCCTCAGTCAGTGATGAAAGCCTTCCGGTATGGATTGCTAGATGCGCCTACTTATAAATCAGTCAGCATTCAAGCTCAGAGCGTGACCAATCTAAGATAGTGCGGAAACTCTACATGGGTCCACGCGTGCAATCGAAACTACTTGTTTTAATCAACCTCAAAACAAGTGGTTTCGACTCATGGCCCTTCTAGTCAATTCACAAGACGTACGATGATCCTGTAACCTCATATATATCATTGTAGCTGAAGAGGCCAACGACGCGGCCAGACGTGAATGTATTGAACTGCGGCAAAGAATAGCTGAAGCAGAACGTGAAAAGAACGCCTTGGATGTGTCCAACGATGAACTTCGTCGCCAGTTGAAGACTGCGGAAATGGAACGAGTCGAGCTGGTGCGCATGACCAACGTGACACGGTCTCAGTTGCAAGGAACCGAAATGGACCGGACGACTGCGGAGAGAAGAGTGGCTGATCTTCAGGATAACCTGAAAGAGGTTACCACTTCAGCTGCTGAGGCTAGACGTGAAGCAGTCGAATTAAGGAATCAGTTGAAGAAGGTCACTTTCGAGCGCGACTCGCTAGATCAAGAAATAGGTGAATTACGTCATGCTCTCAAAGACAGTAACGCCAAGGAAGAAATCTCAAGGCGGTGAGTAATACAATGTTATACACAGTGTTGTTAGATTGGTTCGTCCGTTTTGTTTCTGCATTTAACTTGAGTTGCTTCTCTTTGTTGGTTGCAGATAACGCCTTGTGGCGTTCCACTACTAGCTACTTGTTAGTAGTGTGTACTTCACGAGATTTGAGGGCCACACAGCACACCGGCAGGGTTACTTCAAGTGAAGCCACTGAAAGCTCCATGCATCACAGGACGTTTTTTCAGGGTACAACCCTACACATGTATCACATGCACATTGTAAAATAGCTCCCTGTATGCGGTACGCAAGAGACCACGTTAAGCGGAATTTCTGATGGCTATGCGTTTGTTCTTGGAATTAATCCGTGGAGTACACGTGACTCTTTTGAATGACTGCGGAAAAAGTCGAAACACGCTGGAGAAAGTTCTTCCGGTAAATTTGAACCAATCATTGAAATGTCTGCTTACTTCAAAGCCAACTTAGACATCAAGTGGGATTACGATGAACAACAAAGGGTGGTTTATCGACCTGAAAAATACACGGTAGTCTTCCTAAACGATCGCTAAAATAAAGGACAGAATGGCAGTGACTTCAGCTGGAACACAGATATTAACATTCCCGCAAATGAGAGTGAGAGGACTGCAGGGAGTTCTCATTCTAGTGGCACAATATGGTAGATGCCGAACTCCACTAAAGATTACTTGGCGTTTGGGAATCAACTGAGATTACCTATACGTCAGTGCTACTGAATCGCTCGGCTTACAGTCGAATCGCTGACGTTTGAATGAATTCATCTTCCTCAGGTGGATTCAATAATCTCCGTAGCTGTGGAACTCACCAGTGTTGATAACAGTGATCCCAACAGTGCAACACAGCTTGGGGCGACATTTGGAATCGTCAGTCCGAAACTGGCAGCATGCTGTAGGATCGAGAAAACTCGGTGCTGGAACCCAGTAGAGTGATATGATCCGCTGGGCAGCACATTCGTTTTATGGCTCTCATTGGAGTGTACTTTTTCGAGGACAGTGTCAAGTGATCAGAGGCGAAGCGAACTTGTGAGTATTCGCACGTACAGTCTAGATGAGTCTCTAGTTGCGTGAGGAAAGGTGAACTACTGGTTAAACCCGAAAGAGGTTAGGTTGAAGCAGTTATTCAACAAACACGGAAAAGGCCTATCCAAATAGGTTAAGTTGTGGCGACAAAGAGACGGATATCGCTGTTATATTACCACATTACCACAATAATAGGGGACGGCGTGCCTTGGAAACCGAACAAAGGAAGCTTGATTTCTGAACTACTTTGATAGGGAGAACCTCTGCGAAGAAGTAAGCGAGCCACGTGGTCAAAACCTCCAAACAAGGGCCTCATTTGATGGGAAACTCCCCTAATTATGGTCGCTTCTGAGAGTACTAGACAAGTTTTAATTCAGCCTTATATTATTCTACACCACCCTAAGCGTGAAACGCAAACCTGCATCTAGTTGAGCTATTATAGAGGGCAAGTTGCTGAGCAATACAAGGCTCAGGTACCGAGTTAGACACAGCTCATGTGTTAACCCACCGTTTCATCTTCATCGTTGACAAACTGACCTTTGTCTAACGTGATATCTCTCCGCTTGAACGTACATCTCTTCCAATCCCATTGTGACCACAGCCCACATGAATGTGATAATTCACTTGGAGCATTTGATTGTCATGTTGATCGCAGAAGTAACTGCGTGAGTTGAAATAACCAATATTACTGAAAATTGCTCTAATAGGATGATACAACTAATTGAGATCCTGACAGTTGCCCTCGGCGGGTGCCCAAAATTAGACTGAACATCTAGGCGTTGACTAGCGGTATTTTTCAAATTAATTTTGAAAAATACGGGTAGCGAGGTCTATGATTGTGTTTTTTAGGTCTTTGAAAATCACCGCACATGGAAACATCGTTCTCGCTTAAAAATTTCTCTCTGGCTACGTCATTCGTTTTTGCTTTGCCGACAGGTACCCAAATTCAGTTTGATCGCTTCATCAGCATGATCTTGTCGAAGTCCAAACGTTCCATTTGGCTGTTTTCTCGATCACGTGAAGTTCAAACTGGGTACTGAAACAGCGCAAATAAAAAATCTGATTAGTCACCTTTGTTCTCGGCTGGTTCAGGCGATCTTCATTCCGTACTGTACACACAAAACATGGATTCAAGAAACCTAAGCGCAAATTTGAAAAACCACTCTTGACAGGGCTAGTGGCACGAAAAGGCCCATTGTCTAACAAATTAACTATATGTGAGGAAACCCGTCCTTTCGTATTCAAACTAGGTAGGGTGAATTAGATGCATTGCTCTTTCCCCCGGCACCTCTACCATCAAATAACCGACTGTACTCTAGTCAAGAGTTTTTGTAAAATTGACTCCCAAGAACGGGCATTCTTTAGGTGATGTCGAAATTGAGTTAGTTGTGGTATCTTATCCTTGGACGGAGGTAAGAAGTTGTACTACGTTGGCCCCATTGGGAACAAAGTTACCGAACGTCACAAGTGACACACAGCTTTCCCAAGACTTATCAAGGCAGAGTGTTGGCGTATCACATCGGCTCACTTGTTGAAACACTGACTAGTCAAGGGAGTGTTGTGTCCCTGTAGATCTATCAAGAAGGGCTCTTTTGGCTCCAGCTAAACCTCACTCTATTAACGCCAAAACATGGTATTTTATTAGATTACGGCAGCATCTTTCGCCTCTCTTTGCACTCTTTATAGGATGAGTTCTCTCGTGAATGGTCCGGTGGCACTTGAGACCGATCGATCCTTGTTTTCAGTATTGGCTAAAACATCGATATGTTCATAGTTAAATACTCGAAACCTGAGTTCGTCTTCAATGGAAAACAGGTGATTGGCTTGAGGACGGTTCCTCAAGTCCGAATGACTATCAGCTGATATTATAGTTAGCTTGTAAAGGGCTGCTGTCACCTCAGGTGCTGTTTGATATAACAGAAGCATAGGAATGGGACCAGAACGGTGATTGCATTCGAATAACACTGGGCAGCCAATAAGTAGGTCCTGTCTAGGCGTAATGTACTACTCATAAGTTGCTGAAAACTCTTCGACCGCCCACGACCTATCTAGGTCGTGAAGTTGCCTGGTAATTTAGCATCACTTCCCACCATCCAGTCCAGTATTCCACATTTCTGTTGAGATCTACCTCGCCAAAAAGCTATCATTATGATGACAGTGCTTTCGCTCGTAATCGAGGATAATTCAGCTCAACTTGGACCGGACATTGCCGGATGTTCTACATTCAGCAATCACCGTTTCATCTCCTATCGATTAAACATTTCTGGTTAGGTTAAAAGAACTGTGAAAAGAACTGCCCAAAGTTCCTCTCCAATAAGTGCTGAAAGATTATTCTTGCACCGATGATGAAGATAAATCACGAAAGTCTGGTAGGACTGATCGATATCTGTTGTCACAGTCCTTAGTGTCAGGACGGACCCAGAGATGGAAGAAGTACATGTGCAGAGAGTGACGCATCCTCAAGGTCACCATCGGTACGACACGTTCGGAAAGCAGGTGCGTTGGCGGAGCGCACCATACACGGCTTAGCAACAAAAGACCAGTGGAGTGGGGCGGAAATTGTTCACGACCGGAAGACCGCCATTGGCTGTACAGAGCGAACAAGTGAACGACCATATATTTGCCATTTAGTCATCCTATATATTTACGCAGAAGCTCTGTTTGTTTTGTCCTGACAATACAGCCGTGTCTCGAGTTCTCTGTCTTCCCCTTATCGCATAGTCTGGTAGGCTCAGTGCAGGCGTAACCAATAGCCGGCCACCCGCGATACAACACTTAGATACACATACCTGGAAAACTGAGTAGTATGGTCAGCTTGTTGCACAATTGCAATTGCACCGAAAGATATCGATCTGAGAGACTAAAATTTTTTATTTCAATTTAAACTTTATAGTTTTGATCTTGTCGCTTAGTTGCAGTCAGTAGCAGTAATCGGGGTTAGCCAAACCTAGACCATTTTGTAGATAATCGATACAATCAACACCCTCAACACGTGACCAATCAAATGTGAGTGGATCTCATGAAAACTTTCGCAGCGTCATGCGTTCTCATATTCCTCCTTCATCGTGTGCGAACTAACTTGATTTGGGCACGTCGAACCACACGCACTCACTGATTTGAATTTCCACTCGACTGTATTTCCTGTAGAAATACAAATTATTGAGTGACGAGTTTGATGAAATCCCTTGAAGTCTACTTCAATTGTAAACCCTTTCCAGAAAAGATCATCAGCCAGTAAACACCATTGCTTGTCAGTCTTCGAAGTGCTTGACCGTTTTCATACTTGAAAGCAACTGGTGGAAAGGTTAAAAACTCAACCGATTAGCCACGTTACCGCACTTCATGCAATTGTGAACCCTTTCGGGCAACCATGAAGTTTCGGTGAGATCCCAGGTCTATAGCTCGGTTTGCTGATTGCTCCTCGTTACTCAACAGCCAAGAGGACACGGATTTTTGTTTATCTACAAGCAATCCCACGTCTTTCTGAATACGTCAACGGTTTCACGAAATACACTCATTTGCACTTGATAGGACCCAAGAAGCGTGAAATTGATCGTGAGCTGCCAAAGAAGCAACCTTGTGATTGGCGCATTTCGTCTAGGTTAACAGCTTGTCAAGGTAAGAGATTCACATGTGCGACGAAAATACGACTTGTTTGGATAATATGCCAGGCCAAACACTCCAGATGTCTGGGTGTTCTTGATCGAACGCCAAGCAGAACCTTAACGTGGATGAGTGTAAGCCATGAAGCGCATCGTTTCCTCTGTCCTCATACGGTTGATTATTTCGTGACAAAAATAGCGAAAGAATCTATTTTCGCAATGATTAACTAGCTTAGTGGGATCTTGCTACTTTGCTGAGGTATATTTATCACTCTGTTCGTACCAACAACCTTCGCCTTTTTGCAGGGATAAGGCTGGCCTAAAGCAACGCTTGTTGGATCTTGATAGTTCAAAGTCGGCTCTCCAGTCAGAGGTCAATAACTTGACAAGACAAGTCACAGAGTTGGAAGACGCTTTGCGAAACCGTGAGCGTGCGGCCAACCAAGCGACCGAAGAGTGGCATCGTGACTTCCGGTGCTTGGAAGAGACAAAGCAGGCGTTGGAGAAGAAGGTAGGTTGAAACTGGGATGAAATGGGATAGAGTGACCTTGCCCTCCAAGTGATTTTCAAAAACAGCTACCTCACATGATGTTTTGAGTCAAATTTGACATTTTTACTATCCCAGTAGGGTACTTTAAACTCGATAAAAGGGTTTTTAAAATGGGTTTTCCATCACTCACGCCTCATTTACTCACCTCTCACGCCATGGAGAGTATAAATTGGTATTGTGAAACCCTATAGGGAACATTCAGTCCAAAGGTAACTGATTAGAGAGCATGGAAACTTTAGTTCAAACAAATGAGGTGAACTTACCTAAAAAGCCCACAGTGGAGGACCATGGTCGTGCCCGATGTTGATTGCTCGTTTTTTTTTACATACAGCTTCTTTTCCTTAATACAGACACCGCTGTTTTACTGTTTTTTACTGAACGACAGCTCTGACATCCTTGTTTGTTTCTGCCTCCGAATTTCCGGGATGCCATCTTCCAATCGTTCTGCGTCGGCTTTCGTTTTTATTTCTGATCCGAGTTCGGGTTGGTTTCACTCTGTACAGTCCTGGTGCGTACAGTGTACCGCAGAACTACGACGCAGTGTAATCCAGACAGCATTTGTGTCCAACAGTATGTTTTTACTAGAAGTTTTGTTCTGTCAATAAAGCCAGTCTACGCTGAAAATTCGAGAATCTGCTTCAACCTTGTTGGGAATGATCAGCTGTGCACAACTCCGAGATTTTCATAGCGGCGGCCTTCCTATCAGTGATTGGCCGTTTGGCCACCAGCGATTGATCTTCGGTGTGATTGGCTCTCGCTCAGACACAGTGTAGTGCCACTCATCCCGTGGTCAATCCAACGACGTCACGTGGTCACATATTGACTCGCTACACGAGTGACGACTTCTCAGATTGAAGTTTCGCTCATCTTGTGAAATTATTCTCCCTCTGAGTCGCTTATCAGTTGCGGTTAGTAGGAAGAAACTTGGCGATTCTCAACAGAGTTTTCGTTTTGTCAGCGAAACTAGTCTATGCTGAAAAGCTTAGAAGTAGTATACAGCTGCCTCATCCCCAGTGGGATCACCAGCGGTTTGCATCTCAGTGAATTCAAAAAGAACCCCATGACTTCTGAAGAAATAACCTGATTAATGCACCGCCTTCGTGTGCTTTGTACCAACCTAATGGTCATTCATGAATCCCAGCGCTACTGACTATCAGGATACGAACACTAGTTATTTTAAATACGGTTACAATTGCTCATATTGTTCGCAGGTTACGATAGACTAAACTGAATAGAGGACATGAAAACAGAAAAATTCAGGTTAGCGGTCGATCACACTGTTAAGCAAAACAGAGCCGAGGATCAGGTTGTAGGCCAGATGATTAGCTCTTACATAGACACGACATACTGTCGCCCATCCTTCAGTCACGGTAACCACATCGTGTGGTTACCTATTGAATTGCTGCTCCAGTGGCGCTAGTTCCGTCTAGGAGAAACGTAATCACATTGCTGCTCGGCCAGGAAAGGTACACGAACATATCTCTGCGGAAATCAGGAGTAATTTCTCCTCAGGTGGTAGAAGAAAACCAGAACTAGTCAGCAGTGTAGCTGAAGAGAACATTGTTGGCTGAAATTGTGACGACGGTCATTGATTTGTTCGCTGAGCTGGGAAATTTAGCCTTTCGTTATCAGTGCGTTGAGATTGAAGTTGTGTGGTTGTTGCTTGTACGTGGATCGATGTAGGATTTACTCAACCAGGTTGACCTTGATTGATCATTGGTCGTTTGGGTGAGCATTCATATTGGCTTGTTGGGTGGCCTGTCTCATTACTGAATGTCCGGGAAGCCTTGAGACTTGACCCTTCTGATTTCCCCACATTGACTATTGTTCGCTGGTCTCCATATTGGGTTCCGTTTCCTGGTCTGTTTGTGTGATTGCTGAGGCTTACTCAGTGTTGTCATTGGATTGGCAGTACCTCACTCTTAGCGATGCATAGACTGGGTAGATTTGGAGATACCAGTTGATTGAATCTTTTGTGGAGCGTCATGGTTCGAAGAGTCTGGTACTTAGTGACAACAGTGAGTTATCCACAGCGGTCAGACATACAGACCAAGAAAACGGGGCCCACTATGTAGGTAAATGAATCACCAATTGCCAGAGCTCTCCTAGCGACTTGCTCCTATCGATAGGCGCCGTGTCTAAACTTGAACTCCAGGCATCCAAAGGAAGTTTACAACGGAATGTGCAGTCTCAAATAAGAGTTTGGGAGTGCTGGGTCTGCGGGAACAACTTCTTAACTGACTGCGGCGTATAAGTATTACCCAGATGGAGCATGTGACAGTTGCTTCGGTGTGTCAGACGCGTGTGCGGTGCGTGTCCGTTCGTCGTTCCACCATCGATCTGGCATGTGACTTGAGTGGCTGATTGGATGTGTGTCCGATTGGTTGGCTCGCGTGAGCGCTGTGGGTGGACTGGATATGTGACTCAGTTGTTTTGCTTGCCTGCCACGAAAGCGGACCAGATTGGCCGCGTGTACCCAATACACCCGTGTCCGTACTTACGCGTTCTTCTGACTTACTGTGAACTACAATAGAGCAGATGGCTTCAGTGAACTGCCTAAGCTTACTTTCTCCTGGACGTACGGGTTCTTCATTTTCCGAGTCCTTCAAAACCTTGCTTGCACAGAAGAATTCGTCAAGTTGCACTGTTTTTTATTTCTTGCTTAGGTCGCTACTGTACTGTGATTGCAACTAGCTGAATAAACAGTAACTCGGGGGCATCTGATGCATTTTTGGTGAAATCTTGTCAGTGCTATGGGGGAGAATATTGGTAGCTCAGATAGCATAGATGGTCGTTGGTTTGTTCGCTGAGCTGGGAAAACGTTTCACCACCAATTGAGGTGACATCATCAGTGTATTGTTAGGGAGCGGCGAACAAACCAACAGCAATCTTTGTCAGTACTGTTTTTAGTTTAGTTGGTGGATTGATTGCTTGAACGACTGGTACTCATTTAGCGAGCTGAAGTGAAGTTTCGCCAACATTCGAAGGCTAATATGGGAGCAGGTACTTCTTTCCTCTCGACACCAGGGTGAAATGGTACTCATTGTTTACGCTTGCTAGTTTCAAGAATAAGTACGTTCAGAAAAAGCATTTCCAAATAAAGCCAACATTTTCATAAAGGAAACTACTCACAAGGTTGCTGTAACTTCTTCGACAGCCCACGACCGGTCACGCCCTTCTGGGGGCCCATCAACGAGAGATTCAGTTGAGTCTCTTGTGAAAACCAAATTGATTTGCAAATGAGTGTATTTGTCGAAAACAGTCCGATTTGGGTTCAAGTAGAACATAAGGTTGACGGAAACTCGTGGACAGCGCCCACCTGATGAGCTCGAACTGGAAGGGTGAAACCGGTCGTGGGTTGTCGAAGATTTTTCAGCAACCTTATGAGTAGTTTCCTTCACGAAAATATACTGCGATATCTCGAATATCGTTCCAACTGAAACATGAGGTGGCCTGTATGCAGCACATTCACTTGTAGGATATCACAAACGAGAGATTCAGTTGAGTCTCTCGTGAAAACCAAATCGATTTGTAGATGAGTGGATTTCTCGAAAGGCGACATTGTTTTTTGTGACGAGTGTCAGTCAATAAGCCAGGTAAAAAAGGGCTTAGCCGAATTCGATGTTGGGCACCTTCACTCCAACCTATGTCACCAAAATTGGTGAATATATCTAATCACATTTTTTTGGGAAGTTATGGTCGTTGATAATTCAGTGACTTCTGTAGTTGTGTGTGAATGCGTAGAGCACACAGTTTACTGTCTATGGATTTGAATGTCGAGTTACACTGTAAGATTATGAAGACAAACCTTCATCGGGACCAGATTCGATAGGAGTTATGCCGAAACTCAGCCAGTATCCTTCGTGAGAGAACTTGTTAAAGGACTTATGTGATCATCAGGGTGAAACCTCTTGATTTTGAAAATACTGAGAGTAAGAAATCAAGAGTAAAATGAAAATTATGACATCTTTCTGCTGGATGCGAGGCTTCAGACTCCCGCCTATCTGTTATATCTGAGTGCTGTCTCCGATCCAGTGTCTAGTGTCGGAGAAAAGACTCGCCGACAAGGAGTTGAACGTTTTCATTGCGCGAGTGTGCAATACAGCGGTCTGACCTTCGTCCAACGCTGTATTGCGCTGCCTGGCTTTAAATCACGACTGTCTGGTCGGCATCTGGTGGAATTGAGGGGCTCTCAATAGATTTCGGGCATTCTGTGGTTACCTTCAAGAATCTAACCTTCTTGATACTATCCAATCATAGTGCGATTATTATTCTAGCTGACTCAACACGTGCTGTCGCTCACAATCTCCCGGGATCTATAAGCCTAATTGGTGAGCCTCGTTAACTTCTTGTATCTAAGTTACTTACTCAGTGTTATTGTTTCAAGCAAAGACAACCCTGATGCTTAATCAGATAAACGTTTTCGACTTTGTCAATTCCTGTTCCACCCAACTGTTCATCGGACAAATTCACAGGACGTTTGTTCTTTTGGTGTGTGCGTGCTCCTGCAATGAATTCACTCCACCCAACTCCAGTCATCATCAGCAACACCAAGCTAGCAAACTGGTGCCGTGACTCAGCTGAGATCCAGGCAACCTAGTCAGTTCATTCCTAAACCTCTTCAGAATCTAATCCATAGTTATCATACGGTTCAGGTGCCTTTTCCTCCCATCTATTGCAGATTGAACAATCTCACCTAATCATTGGCGAACTGCGCACCTCTTTGACCGAGACACAGACTCATCTACACGGGATGGAAGCCGAATTCTCTGACACACTGGTAGCCAGGCAAGAGGCTGAGACCAGACTTTCCGCCATACACAGCATTCTACGACGTCTGTTGGGATTTCGGCAGTCACAGTATCTAGGTCTTCCGGACAAAACCGATACACCTCAACCGGAGCCTGACATTAGCCCGACGGAAGCCATGGATGACACAGAGGAAGATAAATCACGTAAAACCGGACCAAGAAGTATGGAGTTGTTTGACTTGGATTCTCAGACACAACGATCTGAAGAAGATGGGGATAGCGATTTGGCCTTGAAACGAGTGGCTGAACGTGTACTGCGGAACCGTTTGACCGCCCGAGGCCAAACCGCATTGAGACCACGCACTAGGGGCTTTCGTCGTTCTCAGTATGACTCCGGCGAGTTGTATCCACCGTTTATTCGCCGAGTACGGTCTTCGATAAGACAACGGCGTTCCAAATCTATTTCGCCACCTCGAAGTGAGTACGCTTTAGAGTGCACATTTGTCCAGGTATGCGTGTCGCACGTGAAAATGGCAAAATTCACGACTATAAATTGTCCGTGTGTGTATGAGCCTACGAACGTCGTCATCATCATCATCATCATCGAGAGCATGACATCAGTGTTCAACACCGATGCTTCACTGCCGTACAACCATGATTTATTTGAAAGCCTTATTGTAAAGGAAAGAGTAAAGGTGAACGGGGAAGGGACTTAGTGCTGGCTTACCACAATCATGTTTCATCGAGTGTAAGTCAGAATAGTTCCAGTATGTGGCAATCCACTCTCTCATTCGGTTAACCTTTGTGACCAAGACTGTGTCCGCAGAGCTCCTTGAGAATTTTCCAGACTCACTTGTTTCATTTTTAGCTCATTCGTCAAAGTGAAATGTAATCAATCATGAGACAGCTGATTTTCAAAAATATACCAGAAGAATTTCCGCAGACCTTTTCCTGATCATGAAGATCAAGCCTTTACATAGCAGAGCAATTCTACCTGATTCCATTAGTGCTCACTGTCAGTGATCAGTCGGCGTAGAACAATCTAGAAATCAAGAAACAATCGGCAGAAATTATCAACAGAACTTTTAAAAACTATCAGAAAACAGGATCAACCGAGGAGCCTTATTTGTAAACAGGTTTGATAACTTCTTTTCAGAGAGATCCTGGTTTCGTGCGCCTGCAAAAACAATATTCTTGCAATGTTGAACCAGTTCTCGACATGAAGATACTCGGGGACGATTGCCGCTCTATTCTGATCGATATATGATGCTGCGCGACGGAAATACAGTCGTATCCGTGAGAGGAGGAATATTACCCGAGGACCTGATGACAAGATGATTAGTTTGAGTCAACCGCCTAAGGATAACCCCTTTTCCTGTTAGCGAAGATTGTAGCTAGAAACTTAGAGGGCACCACGAGGATCATCTTATATGTACTCAACCGAGATAACACGCTCCGCTTGGTGAACTAAATCAGTTTTTCGCTTAACTCTGGCAGACAAAATGGACAGCATTACTGATCGACCCACATCTGTCGAGCGAAATTTGGACTCCTTCCATAAGTTGGGTTACGCTGCCTCCGAGGCGCTGGATACCGGACCCATGGGAACAACTAGTGAGCTTGTATTGGCCAATATATCCACGCAATGGCAACATACCTTACGCACACACCTGGGCAGTATTCGCTATCGCGGTTTGCCCGGATCAGATCTGGACCCTGAGGCGGTTCGAATGGTGCTGCGCGAGTTCCTGCGTCATTTGGTCGAGATCGAGCGTGATCGCGACTCGAAGGACATCAAAGCGAGATTGAGTGAGGAACAATTGTTCGACCTACGCAGACAGGTGGCCGATCGAGAGCAGCGAATTGGACAGCTCCAGTCCACACTAAATGGCATAGAGCGTGGTAAGTGTTCCCGTAGTTCTTGGTTTATTCATTTATTTAATACCACATTTTACTAATCATAGTGAGCTGATGACATCGGAAAGTGTTATTAGTCCCGGTTTTCACGTTGCTATTCGTTTTGAACAGCACAAATTTATTGCTCTGAAGGGGCACCGCTTGCGTTTCGTCCTTTCGTGTAAGCACTGATTCCACAATTTTTCTTCCTATAGTATGTTGTTTTAAGTTTCCACCATCTTGACGGTTATGGGGTAAGCTGGAGAAAGACTTAGTTTCCGGTTCGGCAGGGTGCGCCTATTCATGTGATGGCCAGCATCTGGCAGACTATGTGAGTAGCACCGTTCGGTGTCTGTTTGAAAGAATTCTTGAGTAAATACCAAACTGTTTGAAGATTTTACTGAGCATGCACGTGTCACAAGCGCAACACAACAGAACTTGGCAATGAATTGTGAAAGATATCACCAGCAAACTCAGCTGCGCTCGTCATTGCCGTCTCCTTGGACGGGGCCCCCGAGAGGAGGCATACTAATGGTTAAATACACAGACCTGGACCAGTCGTGCTCTCGATGGCGCTGGTGCATCCAAGCAACTGCCTTCAGTGCATGGTTCCCTTCCCAGCCCCCCTACTTAAATGTCCACCAACAGTCCTGTATTTAAGCACCAATTTGTCAGCTCCCGCCTTCAATGCGCAGCTACCCACCCCACCTCCCCAAATCATCGGTGAACGAAACTGTGGCAGCCACAACCACTGTACGATGAGTACGCGGTTATTACAGCTGACAATGATGGTGGTGATGATGACAAGGACAACAAAAGCATTGAGACCCGATAATCACAGTCCACGTGACTCGCAGTATCCATGCTTCAGACTGATCAAAATGTTATGGGACGCGGTTCACATGGAAGCAATAGTATTTGCAATGAAGAAACCCTTCTGATGTAAATCTATTTTCGTCTCTTTTCTAAAAAAACAGACAAGCTGGGAATTATGGAGCAGTTGCGTTCGATGAAAGCTGCCATCTCAGAGCAGGAAGCATTCATGTGCAAGCGAGACAAAGAATACGATACTGCGAAAGATAGGCTCGCAGTGGTCGAACAACAGCTGGCTTTGTGCGAGGAGGAGAAAATGCAACTGCACGTAAGTTTTGGTGCGCCGTTTTTGAATCGAGTTTTGATGAAACGCTCGTCACACATCCTCACAGGGTATAGGTCTACCTCACGGATAATTTTCAGTCGGTTTTTTAGTTAGCAGATAATTTTTACACGCTCAGATCACTCTCGTTTGACTAGTCATCGTCCTGCCCCGGCGCAATCACTCTGGTGAGTCCACACAGACTCGAATCTCAGATCACTCTCGTTTGACTAGTCATCGTCCTGCCCCGGCGCAATCACTCTGGTGAGTCCACACCAGACTCGAATTTCGTCCTTATTAGAGCTCATCGAACGTGCATACCTTCGCCGGGATTGGAACACTGGACATCTGACATGCGGGACTAGCGCGTTCGTGCTACTCCACCAGCGCGTCTGAAATTTCCCGTCCGAACAGGTGAACATATTTACGCTTGAGTGAGGTGAACGGTAAACCCAACGCCTTGAACAATGACCTAATAGTATGCCTTAGTTTTGTCCGTCATTTTGTGCTGTCGGAAGTTACGGAGGTCGTGGAACTTGTGTTCATTCCAGCTGCTGTGGGAACACTCCTTCTCGTACTTTGACACAACTTTACTCGTATAAATTGAAGAACGGAAGCACCTGACTCGAGTTTCTCTCTTATTAGAACAGGTTTTAGACATCCACGGCGGCAGTTGAATGAAACACCTCGGCAATTGGGCAAATCGATTGACGCAGCCAGGGTAGATGCTGAGTCGTAGTTTAAGGACTTGGGCAAACCATGTCAAAGGCTTCCAATATGAGCGAAATTCCAGTACAGGGCTTCTTCTCGGTGTGGACCGACCAAAAATTATTCTTAATCTAAATTTAACATACCTCTTAGCTAGACTAGTCGTAGGTTGAGAAGCACGAGGGAGACATTATAAAACGTAACTCGATACCCTCCCCCCCGATTGCTTTCACAGGCCCGACTGGACAAGCTCAAGTCTTCGGAGAGTTGGCTTGACGAGGATAGGCGTCAACTGCTACGATCGTTGGACGATGCGGAAACCAGATATACCGAAGCCGAGGTGGCCAGACGACGTTTAGAGGGAGATCTGAAACGAACCCGAGTTACAATGGGCGAGCTGGAACAAGATAAGCAGGTAACATGTGTCTATCTTGGTTGATTGTAACATAAGTGTCGACCCGAGAACAGCGGACGGCACAATCCATCCGGGAGTTACCATCGACAGATGGATTTGGTTAAAACGACAAACTACGGCGGCCAGATTATACCTAGACCGATACTGCCCTGAAGTGACCGCTTTTGTTCAGCCCTGTTGGGTATCACCTGAGAAAATAACACTACCTGTAATTTACCAGATCATAATATTTCCACAGCCAATATTGCAAACTAAATCTGCATAGCTAACCCGATTCGTTAGATGTTACTAGACCGAATTCCGGATCGACCACCAGCGCACGCAAAAAACTTTCGTTTTGTTGAATTCTCAAGCAGATAACTAAATGTTTGGCAACCATCATTAGTCTAGATCCTGAAAAGAAAACGAGCAAGTGCCTGGGTAGAGGCCTGCGCGTCTCCCATCACTGACTGGGTTGTACTTGCCTACCTATCGTCTGAACAGTGTCTTTAACCCATGAGCATGCTGTGTGGATACTACAGTATCCGGACAGAAACTTGGACCATTAACGAGCAGGTGCTTCATACGCCCTATCCGGTAATCTTACAAGTGCACATGCGGTGTTTCACACTTTGTTTAAGATCTTTCTATACTAGCGAGAGGTAAATAAAATGGGATGCATCTTGGTTCGTTCGCCTATCCCATATCTGTAAGGATCTACTACAGTGCCGTGGTCAGCAGACTCCGTTAGGTGGCATGGTGACTAGCACTGAAGCGGTGACACTACTGATGGGGAGGCACGCGAGTAGTATGTTTTCTTCTCGTAAATTCGCTTTGCGTCTCTTGAAAAGGGAGATCTCTTGCGGAATTTGTGGAGTTGCTCTGTAGCATTAGCTTGGACGCGAGAAACAGTAAATGAATATCGAGTAAAGTTCAGGAAGACGCGTTCAAGGAGACGATGGATATTCAGTTTTGTAGGCGAGATGCATATGAGAGTTTTGCCTCCCTGTCCAATATTCTGTAACCGTTCAGTTGGCATTTTCTAATAAATAACTCTGCAGCGAAGGCCTTCTTCCTTTCACCACTCGCGCTAAACCAATGTGTACATCTGGTTTCAGTGTGCGAACTTGAATAGTCCACACGTGTCGGGCGTCCCTCAAAAGTGTAGAGGCTCTGGAATAAACCAATGCCATGGGTTCTATTGGGATTGAATCATGGCCTTATTCACTGGAAAGGTCCCTGCACTTCAACTAGTAAGCGTCATGTCAGTAGACCAAGGACAGTTTGTTTTCGCGTGTTTACTTGCAGAAGTCCCTATGGGGTTTCAAGCGAAATCTCGGGTATTGACGAGACCTCGTCTATTACTCCTTTCGGACAAGTCATCCTGATTAGATTCGTGCTCCTCGTGATTACGAGGTCATAGCATGCCACTTTGGTAGCCTCGGGGACGTGCACGACTGAGGTCGGTTCGTTCTTGAACGACCGCTTACGTAGGACAAATGAGCAAGCGACTCTAGCTTGATTGACGACATGGGATGATGGGGTTAGAAGAGTGACCTCCTTTGGATGTACTTATAGGTTGTTGGCAGCGGTGGAGGCTTCAACCTATTTGTGAAACCAGCCATTGTGGACAAGCCGAGAAGCACTGTACACCTGTTTGATCCATCGAGGCTTGCTGGAGTTTCATGAGATGTGCACTGTTGATGATTTGCCATGCTTCTCGGCTTCTTCAGCATCGATCGGCTTCACTTACGGGGAGAAAGCTTCATTAAAAAGATTATTGGTACGGAACAAAAAACTATAGATGCTAAGATGTGTGAAGCGCCCCATTGATCGTTGCGACACATTCTTGTACGGTGCGTTTTTGGCAACTAAGGGGAAGTGTGCTGTTTCTCTACTATGTATGTATGTATTTCAACGGCCAAATACAGTGTCCAGACAAAACGGAGCTGGTGACACTCAACCTTTTTTTGTCGCAAAGCGTGAGTTTAGTGCGAGTTTTATCGACCGCTTGGCGAAGAAATATCACATTTGTTGCACAGCGTCCTCTTTGGCCTTTTTGGGGTATGCTCTTCGGAGCTTTCGACTTCCACAAGTGTGCACCACAATCCATCAATTCACTTTATCAGCTATAAACCGTGTATCATAGATACATTGGTTCCAGTTGTGTAGTAACGGTATTTTTCTCAGCTTAGTTCTCGGTCTGAGCCTCCCAAGCTAGCGTTCACGTCAAAACAACCACCAAAGGTGCACAAGGTATAGTACCGCCCAAAACGAAGTCAGGAACAGTTGTACAGCGCTTCGTATATGTATATATAGCGTGGGTGGCAATAATCTTCTGGAGATTCTGACGCGTTCTGGATGCGCCATTGGCAACTGGCATTCAACCAATACTGGGTCATGATTGGCTGTTGGGTCCAGACTTTCGACCAATCAGATCTCGGCTTGATGCCTGACTGGCAAGTGTCCGAATTCTTGGCCAGTCTTGCGTGCGAGGGACTTCTTGGCCGTAGCAGCACCTGAGTGCGAGCGGTAGAGCGGGATCCGTGTGGAATTCCGCCTAACAAGTTGCTTCAGGTTCGATCACCGAAGACGAGAGTGTGAGACACAACCAAGCCTTGGAGGTGAAGGCATGTTCAGTTTGTTCGGAAATCGGGTAGCTAAGCATTGAGGTCGATAAATTTGATGCCCGAGCACCACTGGCTACGTGATTGGGCCATTTCTGCTAGTGTCATTAGCCGTTGGTGAGTACCAGAGTCCTTATTCTGGGAGTCGGTAGTTGTCGACCAGACTAAGTTTACTGGTTAGTTCTTTCAGACTTCGTTGCCAGACCATACATTGTCTTCCTCCCGATCACTCTCACTCAGAACAGGGCTGGGCGAAAAGAGCTCTGCGAGGCAGACGGTCTTCTGGCACGCGGAGTAACCTATGAAGCGGGAGTAACTCATCTATAACTGAAAAGTTCCTTCTTCCTAAGATCGTATGGCGTACCTCAGCATTACTAATCCAATGTTCCCACCAGACCCGACCAATGCTTTGGGGACACCGATGGTGAAACGCAGGTTTTGCCGAACTTTGAGCAACCTCTGCAAGGTGTGATGAGATGAAACGGCTCGAACGGTCGACTTGCCACTAGCTACAGGCACTATGAGCCGATATTTCCTGAAGTTCATATCTAAACTACGGTCAGCAGGTTGCGATCTTTCCTTTTTATTGGGTGCTGTCGGTGCCACTCGCCTTCCGGCATGGGGACCGCGTTATCCTTACTGTGCCTGGTTAGAGAAACTACAAGATATGGCTGCCAACTGATGTCAACGGCGTTTTTGTTATCATTTTCTATCCAGATCACCTGAGTGAATGTCTGGAGGTATAGGCACCTCGGAATGATTGTGTTAAGCTAGCACTAAGTCCCTTTCCCGTCCATCTTTACTCTTTTCTTCACAATAAGGCTTTCAAATAAATCATCTGCGCTTTATCGCATGGTGTCACCGTCACACCTTGACCTCTAAAAGTTAGCATTTCATAGCTCCATCATGTTTACTCCATCATTAGAAGCTCGATTTGCCAATTCAAACGATGTCCAACACTTGGTAGGTGAACTAAAACCATTTGTTTTTCAACAGTGCTTTCACATTCTACGGCCAGGATTGCACTGAGATAGTGACCCTTTCTCGGTCGTTTTCGCATTGGCCAGATTTGTTAATTCCCAGGGGTAGTTCGTCCAACATTCAGTTTTTCTCAAAACCCTTCATTGCTTTACGATTTCTGTGATGACGAGACAAAGTGAACATAAAGAAGCATCTTCTTTCTTCGAGTGCCTCACAAACAGGCACCCGAAGATAGATGATTGTCGATGTGGGCAAGGCACCAAAAACTTACAACAAAACCAAATTGATTTGCAAATGAGTGTATTTCTCCGAAACAGTCCAATTAGGGTTCAATTAGATCATAAGGTTGAGGGAAACTCGGGGACTGCGCCTACCTGATGAGTCCAAACTGGAAGGGCAAAACCGGTCGTGGGCTGTCGAAGA